AAATAAAAAATACGGTTATTAAATAATTTTAAGTTCATTGAGACTTGTTTATGACTCCGCATATGAATTATTTTGATGAAGGTTCTATCTGTGCTTGAAAAGAATGGGTATTCTGGGGGCGCCTGGGTGGCGCAGTCGGTTAAGCGTTCGACTTCAGCCAGGTCACATCTCGGTCGTGAGTTCGAAAGCCCCGGGCTTGTCGGGCTCTGGGCTGATGGCTCAGAGCCTGAGCCTGTTTCCCATTCTGTGTCTCCTCTCTCTGCCTCCCCGTTCATGCTCTGTCTTTCCTCTGTCCCAAAAAATAAATAAACGTGAAAAAAATTAAAAAAAAAAAAAAAGAATGGGTATTCTGTTATTAGATGGAGTTATATATAAATGTCAGTTCATTCAATTTGTTATTGAACTATTTGAAGCAGTGTTAAGTCCCTGTATTCTCACTGATTTTCTGTCTGCTTGTTCTGTCCCTAACAGGGGAATATCTAAACCTCTAATTATCATTGTGAATTGGTTGGTTTCTCATTTTGCTTTTGTTTTTTGCTTGTGCATTTTGAAGCTGTTTTTATTTTTATTTGTTTTATGTTTATTTATTTTGGGAGAGAGAGTACAAGTGCAGGAGGGTCAGAGAGAGAGGGAGAGAGTATCCCAAGCAGGCTCTGTGCTGACAGTGCAGAGCCCAACGTGGAGCTCGAGCTTGCGAACAATGAGATCATGACCTGAGCCGAAACCATGAGTTGGACGCTTAACTGACTGAGCCACCCAGGCGCCCCTGAAGTTGAGTTCATACATAAGTAGGGTTGTTATATCTTCTTGTTGAAATTACCCCTTCATTTATGCAATGTCTGTTGTTATGTGTGGCAGTATTCCTTGATCTGTAGTCTATTTGGTTTATATTAATATGACCATACCTGTTTTCTCCTGGTTTGTGTTTGCATGACCAATCTTTTTTCATCCTTTAACCTATGGCTCTCTTTATATTTATTTGAAGTGGATTTCTTTTCAATAACATTAGTTAGGTCTTGCTTTTTTTTCTAGTTTGACAATCTCTACCTTTCCTTTGACATTTTTTAGTTTTGAATTATGTTTATATTAAATGTAATTTTTAGGGGCACCGGGGTGGCTCAGTCAGTTAAGCATTCAACTTCAGCTCAGGTCATGATCTCACGGTTTGTGAGTTTGAGCCCCACGTCGGGCTCTGTGCTGACAGCTTGGAGCCTGGAGCCTGCTTCAGATTCTGTGTCTCCCTCTCTGTCTGCCCCTCCCCCACTTGCACTCTGTCTCTCTCTCAAAAATAAATAAACATTAAATAAATAAATAAATGTAATTTTTAACATAGCTTGACTTAAATAAATGCTGTTATTTAGGGGCGCCTATGTGGCTCAGTCAGTTGAACATCTGACTTTGGCTCAGGTCATGATCTCATGGTTCGTGAGTTCGAGCCCTTCATCGGCCTCTGTAGTGACAGTTCGGAGCCTGGAGCCTGCTTCAGATTCTGTGTCCCCTCTCTCTCTGTCCCTCCCCTACTCATGCTCTGTCTCACTCACTCTCTCAAGAATAAACATTAAAAAAAAATTTTTAAATATGTTATTATTTGTTATCTATTTGTCCTAACTGTGGTTTGTACCTTTTTTCTTTCTCTGCTGCCTTTATCTTCATTTGAATTAATTGAGGTTTGGTTTGGTTTTTGTCTTAGAATTTTATGTTAACATCACTAATGATTTATCTCTGTTGTTTTACTTTTTTGTGTGTGTGTTTATTTATTTCTTATTTTATTTTATTTATTTCTGTACTCGATTTTCCATCTGATATCATTTTTCTTACTATAGAATTTCTTTATCATTTCTTTTTTTTTTATGTTTATTTATTTATTTTTGAGAGAGAGTGTAAGCACAAGCAGGGGAAGGGCAGAGAGAGGGAAAGGGAGACACAGAATCTGAAACAGACTCCAGGCTCTGAGCTATCAGCACTGATCCTGATGATTCATGGCTTGAACCCATGAACCATGAGATCATGACATGAGCCAAAGTTGGACACTCAACTGACTGAGTTACTCAGGCGCCCCTTTTATCACTTCTTATAGTGCAGTTCTGGTGGTGATTAGTTCTTTCATTATTTATTTCTCTGAAACAGTCCTTATGTTACTCTTGATTTTTTTTTTAACCATGGGTTATGTAGGAATATGTTGTTTTGTATCTAAATATTCAAGTTATCATTATCTTACTGATTTCTCTGTTAATTCCTTTGTGGTCAGGTAATATACCTAATATGGTTTGAGTCCTTTTAAGTTACTGAGACTTGCTTTATCATCCAGATTGTCATCTATTATGGTAAATGTTCTATGGGCACTTGAAATAAACATACATGCTGCTACTGTCATATTGTCAGATGAAGAGTTTTGTAAATATCTGTTATAATGTAGTTCACAGTTTTTGTATTGTTACTGATTTTCTGAATGCCGTTCTATTAATTACTGTGATTTGTAATTCATCTTTTCTTTTTTCTCTGAGTAATTTTAAGATTTTCTCTTCATATTGATTTCCTATAATTTGGTAATTGTGTACCTTGATAGGGTTTTCATTCTTTCTTTTTTTCTTGGGGTTCCTTGAGCATCTTGGATCTATGGAATAGTTTTGGAATATTTTGGAATACTTGATTTATTCAAATATTTTTCTCTCTTCCTCCATTGTCTCTAGAACTTAGTTACATATATATTAGACAACCTGTTATAACCTTGAGATCACTTCATTTGCTCCTCATTAAAAAAAAGTCTCTTTCTGTTTCAGTTCCTATTGCTGTGTCTTCAAGTTCACTGATGTTTTCTCCCACAGCATCCAATATGCTGTTAATCCTTTCCATTTAGTTTTTTGTTTCAGGAATTATATTTTTCTCATTCCTAGAAGTTCTGTTTGATTCTTTTAATATTTTCCATTTCTCTTCTCATTTTGTTTTCTTTGTGCCCTTACATGTATGTGTAAGAGCTAAAGTCCTTGTCTGCTGATACTATATTCTCTATCATTTACAGCTTTGTTCTTATGATTTTTCCTCCTGGTTAGGGGTTTTGTATTACTAATTTTTTGTATGTTTAGTAATTTTTCTTAGAGTGTGTGCATTTTAGAGTGAGTTTTATGATGTTGAATTCTAGACTTTGTTGTCTTTCTTTAAAGAATGTTGGACTTTATTCTAGCAGGAGTTAAATCACTTGCACATTTCTTTGACTTGTTTTGTTTTGTTGTTGTTTTGAGAGGTCACAAGTGAATGAAGGGCAGGGAGAAAGGGAGAAGGAGAGAGAGAGAGAGAATCCCATGAGGGGCAGAGAGAGAGGGAGAGAAACAGAGAGAAGCAGGGCTCACCTGAAGTGGGACTCATGTTCACCCAAAGCAGGGCTCTTGTTCACCCCATGTGGTACTACTTGTGGTCACCTGAAGTGGGGCTGTAGCTCACCTGAAGCAGGGCATAAGCTCACCCAAAGTGGGACATGAACTCACCCCATATGGGATTCTAACAAACCATGAGATCATGACCTGAGCTGAACTCAGATCCTTAACCAACTGAGCCACCCAAGCACCCCTCTTTGACCTTTTCATGGCTTGTTTTCAAGCTTTTTAAGGTAGATTTTAGAGTAATGTTAGCTTATCAATATACTACAAGGGATGATGTTTCTGGGATGTCTTTCATATGTCCTCTGTTTCCACAGATAAATCTTCTCTACTCTAGGAGGTGTTTGGTCAGAACTCAAACATCTCTCAGCCCTGTGTGAGCTGAGAGAATTGTTCACCTTACAATAGTCCACCAGTAGTTCTTGTTTTTTGTTTTTTTCTTCTTTTAGGGGTTTAGAACATTTCTTTTTTTGTCTCTCCTCATAATATTTAGTGCGGTAATACAAAAATTTGGTCTTTATAATTGTAATGAGTAAAGCCTACAAGCTGAAGGAGATAAAAGTGACATTTGAGTATATGAACTGTCATGTGGGATGCATAGAAAAGTAGTGACTTATTTCTCCAGGGAATTTTAAATGAGCGGCAAAATTATAATATATAGAAATTACCAAGTAAAGAAGAATTTCCAAGTGAGAACAACCTGATATTTAAAATTCTCTTTCTTTTGCTTCCATGCAATTACAAAAAGTTGGTTTTTTTCCCTTTTTCTTTGACTATTCCTTTTTTTTTTTTTTCCTGCTATTATTTCTTCTCCCTTTCTAGGGACTCTTTTTTTTCTTTCATCACTCTCTTTGCTAATATTCTTAGACATCTCATCCATTTTCTTGGTTTAATATTTATCTCCATGCAGATTATATGCGTGTTTACATATACTGCTCACACCTGTCTTCCAAGATGCAGACTTGAATTTTCGAATTCCTGTTGAGGGGTAGTTCAATTTGTATTACCCTATTACTTCAAATAAATATACCAAAAACCTGAAGCTTTATACTCTTTCCAAATTATTTCCTCTCTTCTCTTTTTCTCTGAGTGGATCCCGGCTCTTGTCTTATGTCACCTGTTCCTAAAGCCTTACAGTCAGCCATCTTTGACACCTCCGTCATATAATTAATTTCCAAGCCTCATTAATTTGCCTTTTTCAGTGCTTCTCATGTCTTTCCTCTCATTCTGAGTTCTGCTGTAACATCTATTTATTCATTCATTTAACAATTACTTGTTAAAGTCCTGTATGTGCAGGGACTTTTCCCATAATAAGTAGGAATTATATGATTTCTACAAGATAACACTGCTCAGAAATGATAGGACCCAATAAGTACTTGTGAAATGACTCACTAAATGAATATATTAGGTTGAACTATATGAAACTGTCATTTTTTAAGGTCACAGTGGCCAAATGTCAGCAATTTCAAATGTCCAACAGATACACTACTATTAAGAATCATACTAATATGTAGGAAAGAAATACATACTAAGTTATTTCTTAATACTTAGAAATACTTGTTAATGTTGTATATAACTTCTTTCATTAAACTATAAAACTTGACTTGTCTCTTCTTTGCCTACCAGGAAACGCGAAATTATCCAGAATCATACCCACAACTGCCGAGGGATGAAACAGTGGAAAACCCTCATCTCCAGAAGCACATTCTGGAATTAGCGTCCATTCTGGATGTTCGAAACGTGTTCCTCGAGAGTACCATAGATGACTATTAAAACAAAAACCCTCTTGTTGAAACAATTTTTCATTTGCCACAGATTTTACATGGTGCAGTTTTATAATGTGATGACAGACACATAGTGGTGTTACTTAGTTTTAATTTTTTTAATTTAAGGCCACCATTTTAAAAACAAACAAAAAATTGTTCAAACTTTTAGGGTAACCGTTTTAAAATACAGTCTTTCAAGTCTTTTAAAAAACTCAATTAATCTTGGAATTTTTACTTTTCAGTTTTGAGGTACAGCTGCTTACCTCCAACATTTAACCCTACACACAAACAGTCACTGTTCTCACCCTCAGAAGAGTAAATCATTTATTTTTATATAATGAGGAAAATCCAGCTCTTGTACTTGGACCTTAAATGTGTGGATTTAGGAAATATCTCATTGTTCACAAAGATGAAACTAGCCAGCATGGACTATTAAAAATCAAGAACAGAGTCTTTCCATAATATTTCTTTTCATTCCAACTTAGTAGGGTAGTCAAATGTATGATTCTTTGAAAAATAATCGAGGTAATTTTTGAAATCATTTAATTCATTAAATACTGTCACAATTTCAGAAACTGTATAGGATCGATTTGCATCTTAAATTTTTAATTGGAGTCTTAAGATGATAAATATCACTTGGAATGTGTGATCCCTGTGTTATCATGAGCTATGCTGGCATATTTTGTTTTCTTTGTAATCTGAATACTGGAAATGACGAAAAGTATTTCAGTCAGAAAATCAGATTGTTGGTTTCATAATACGATTTTTCCATGAGGAATTCTATTTAAACTCTTAATTCACGATATCAGGTTTAAAGATTATCCAGATTGAAGGCTGTGGCATATATTACAGAGTTTATAATCTTTTTGCCTAGTTCACATTTATGAAACTTCAAAGTCAGAGATGTCAGTAATTTTAGTTGGGGGCAACTGAATTGTTTAGCTTAAAATGGAAGTAACTTTTGCATTGACAATTTGGAAATAAGATTTTTAAGAACTCCTTATATTTAATATTTTATATTCATGCACAAGTTTTTTTGTTATTTTAAATAGGACTCCATATATAATACAAAGATTTTTTGTTCTTTCTTCTCTGTCATCCCCTTCATAATTTCATACGCATTAGCTATGATGTTTTGGATTTTTTCCCCCTTCTTTTGACTCGACAGCATTCAAGTTCCGAAATCTATGAATCAAAAGCCCTTCTACCTAATTTTCTCTTCAGGCTCACATGCTACCTCTGGCAGTTCCAGGGGACATAAGGTGATTGCTTTTGGTGCCTCTTTCCTGTGTCCTTGGGAAATTTTACTGTAATATTTTTAGCTTGGTTTTCATTTCAGGCATAGGAAATTATTTGGGTCTAACTTATTCATATACCTGTTCCAATTTGATGATTTTTTTCATCTGAAATCTTGAAATCGTTGTTCTTAGGTTTGGGGGACTTTGTGATATTTCATTAATTTTTTCTCATTGTTTTTGCTTGTTCTTTTAAACATTATTTCAGAAAGCTTTAGAAAACTTATCCTGGAGGGAGATTTCCTTTGCCCATTGGGTTGTTTTTCTTTATCAGATAAAGACTCTTTTTCCCATTTTTCAGTACCTTAATAAACTTAATAGCTTTCCTTCCATAACAGTGTTCACCTGGATTACACCAATAGACTGACCTCTTGTTTCAATTCCCCTGAAGTTCTGTGCCAGTAACATACCTAACACCACGTACTTTTCTGACTTCTGATGCTTAAAATAGTATTTATCCTCCTGAGCTTTATTCTTACCTGTTTTTAGCAGAAAGAACACTGATCTGAGAACTAGGAGACCTGAGTTCTTGTCCTGGCTTTCTTGGTAACTAGCTTTATGCCCTTTGACAAGTGTCTTCATGTTTCTGTTTTATAGTATTCTCATCTATAAAGCAAAGACATTGACCCAAGGTCCTATTCAGTTCTCTGGTTCTGTAATTAAAATTTGGATTCCAAATAATTCATTTCCCTACCCCTGACACCTGGAAAACTAGTTTCCGTGATTTTAGCATAAACATTTTCTTTTCTAAGTCATATTTAACTTGTCTTTATTCATGAAAGTATTTGGGTCTCAGTTAATGTAAAAACTAATCTCTTGAAGAAATTAGAGCTTTTGCAATTAGAAACATGTTTGTCCAAGAACAAGGGGTCTTAGAAATCACAAGTTTAGATGATGACATTGTTTCTTGAGCTGATAGTAATTTCCTATTGGTAGTTAAAAATCTAAAGTGAGCCAAAGTGATCTTGAATCTTCAAAAGAGGAAAACTGTGCCAGAAAATTCTAAACTGTTGTTTCATTCATGCCTTCAAAAGAACATGGTACTGAACAACAGCTAGACTCCAGATTTTGGTCTAGGCACTGGGAAAGCAAACAAATTAGGTTTAAAATTCCTTGTCTTCATGAAGTTTACATTTTAGGAGGAGAAGCCAGGCAATAAACATAATAAGTAAGTAAATTTATATTAGACAGTTATAAGTAGTATGAGGAAAATTTGAGCATGGTAAGGGAAACGATTCAATTGTTTCTGGACGAACAGTGTCTGAGTGATCAGGGTAGGCCTTATTGAGATTACATTTGTGCAAACACTTCATGTTTTTTTTTTTTTTACACTTTTTATTGTGAAAACTTTAGGCAAACTTAGAATTTAGCAAATTGTTTTATACCCATCACCCAGCTTCTACATTTTAAGACATTACTTTAATCAAGGAAAAAGAAATATAAAAGGACAATCACCTATAGACGATGGCAAATAATCTCTTTTTCAATGCATACTGCTCCCCTTTATAAATATAAAAATATTAAGCCCTTTATTTAATTTTAGAATTCATAGAAATTTAAACATTGGAACTAAGAATAAAGCAAAGCAATGGGAAAAAGCACTTCTTTGTTTTCAAATTGCACAAACTCCCCCTGGAGATTCTGATAGTCTCTCACCTCCCTTAAGAATCACTGCAAACGAAACAAAGCGTAAGATTGTGAGAAGTCACTTACATACAAAACAATGTTAAGCACAACGGAATTATTTTCTCTTTCATTAATTATGTATTTCTGAAGTTGGTAAAGCAGCTAATTTATCTCTTTCTCAGAAGAGAAATCTGAGACCCCAAAAAACTATAGGTTTATTCATAGTGGCAGAGCTAGAGCTGAAACTCAAATCTCCTAACCTCAGCCCAGTCTTACTAGTAGCTCAGGTTGATTTCTATAATGAACAAGAAAAGAATAATTAGAGATTTATATTTTGGCACAAAAGGTTATGGTATTTTAAAATTATATCAAATATTGAAACCAGGAAATCAGTCATCCCTAGCAAATTTTTATTAATTATAAGAAATCCCCAAGCCAAACAATTTAGTCTTGATTCTAGCCAGGATATATTTTGTGTGTGTGTGTGTGTGTGTTTTCCTCCTAGGAAGTGGTGCTCTCAAAACCTCTCAAAGCACATAGAATTTATTGTACCCTTTATATTTTTACCAAGTTGAAATGTTTTGAGATTATAGAAGCAAAGTGCAATCTAGTCGTGGCTGAAATTTTCCTGATACAGGATCTGGGTTTTCTTTTTTTCCTTACTTGTGGCTACTGCCCCTTATTTTCTTCTTGTAATAGAATTCTCTGAAACAGATTAGGTGGCAATTGTACTGAGTTTCATTGAGGAAAAAGCATCCAATCTGATTCATATAGCAATTGTGGGGTTTTCTTTAGCTTTCTTCTCCAACTTGAATCTCTGACCAGTATGACTTCGTAACTTTGTCTCTTAGAAGGGATTTGGACTCGGTTGAAAAATCTTGTAGTAATCCACGGGGACTTGTAATCAGCCTGATATATACAGAACATTCTGGACTGGAAATAGAGTAAGGTGCCAAGGTGTGTAGACTTGGCTAGTGCCAGTGATTCAGAACCACCTCCCTACCCTAAGTGAGTAAAAAGATTTGATACGAATATGAATGGTATGAATCTCCTGGTGATATTTTGGGTGTGTATGTTGCTGTGTGTGTTTGGAGAGTATAAAGGGTATTTACATTGAGGGCTCTTTTGTTGACCTTATTTATTTGAAAATCCTATTTTATTTGTAATCGCATGTGTATATTTTTGTGATGCTAAATGCAATCTCTGTGTATACTTTTTTGTATATATGTACATATTTGTAAATATATTGGTATGCAGTGATACAGTATGTGTATATTATATACCCATACTCATTGTGGGCTGAATTTATTTAAGTTCTGTGAGGACATCATAGTGGCATTGTTCATGCTGCTGTAATTAGGTTGTGGCTGTATCTCATTCATGAGCCTCTATTTTGAGGGGCTTGTGTTTGGGTAAAATTGGCTAATTTGGAGTTGGAATTAGGATATGAAAACCTTAAAAGAAAGCAGGATATTCTTAGCTTTAAATCATCTGCCAATTTCCATTTAAACTGATGACAAATTAGTGATATAAACCTGAAAAACCTTAGTGTGTGAAATGGAGACACCAGCAGGTTCTTAAGCTATATTAGTCCTTTATTTTCTTGACCCATAGTTGAGTATTATTACTGAGTAGTATTTATATTAAGAATTAAGGGGCTGTGGAAAAATGACTTTGATCACATTTCAAGATAGATAGGAAACTGTCCTTTAAATTGAGACATTTGTTTTATAGTTGCCATGCCCATACCTGATGCTAAATTTTAATTTTGGAACAGTTTTTTCACCAATGTGTCTCATTTTATATCTGTCTCTGTGAGGCAGAGAAAGGGGCATTATTAGCAAGGGGAAGGCTTTACCTCGGTGGGGTGGGATTTAATAAGGAACAGGAGAGTATTAATCTGTATATTTGCAGCAGCTGTGATTAATTTAGTCCTGTCTTGGCATTTCCTACTCTAGATTTTTCTTATCGGAGTTGCATATCAGAGATGAGTAGGCTCATCTGAGGAAATGGCTTTCAGTGAATAAAATGCCTCCAGTCGTATTTCTTTGTCTCTATGAGACCACTTGTGTTCTGCAAATTGATG